TTACTTTTAGTAACTTCTAGTTGTTTAACCCTAAGAATCAGGTGAATAATACAGCTACCCCATCTTTACTTTTAGTAACTTCTAGTTGTTTAACCCTAAGAATCAGGTGAATAATACAGCCACGCCATCTTTACTTTTAGTAGCTTCTATATAATACAAGGGTTGGCTCCCTAAAGACACCGATTGTATAATGTACAAAGCATTGAGTATCCACATGTTACAGTCATCTAATGTTCATCTATTATTGGCTGGTAATTCCTGTTTCACCCTGTACTTAAACTTTTCAAAGGAACACCGTTTTCTTAGCGATGGTTTCTTGTAAAGGAACGCCATTTTCTTAGCGATGGTTTCTTGTACAGGAACACCGTTTTCTTAGCGATGGTTTCTTGTCTTGTTTTTTGGGTAGAGAAACAAATGAAAGTGATTGGCAGTCATCTTTTAAAGTAAAACTTTCTGTCATTGTTGATTTTTAGCGTGTATATTTGATTACCTTGGCCATCCCTACATACAGAGTCTACGGACTCTATGATATCTCGACTGTTTCGTAGATGTTATCAATGCGCGAGCTTTTAGTTTTCAGCCACAATTAAAAAAACGTTATAACCAAATTAATACAGATAGTAATAGTTTCCCATTTAGTTTCGCTTAATATCGGAACAAGTGTAAACTTATTACCAATGTTAGTTCTGACAACCACCATATAGCCCTCTTGAAGAACGGAAAGGACGCCAAGTTTGATGTACGGTAAACGAACTTTATTTCGGTTCATTTTCACTCTCAAGAACGGTCCAAGCATGACTTTAGCGCCACCTATCTGTAACAAATGGAAATAAATTAAGCAAATAATTCCTAACAATCCTAACTTAATTCATGTCATTTTAATTTAGTTTTCTTTACCAAAAAAATGTTTTTTTATTCATCTTTTGATTTTTAGCCGTTGACCACGAATAATACAACTTGATTATTAAATATTAAATATGTTCATATTAAACAAAAAAGGTCATATGTTTAATTTACTGTGAAAATGAAATGGCAAGATATTTACCTTAATCCTCAGTTTATGAGTCCATGAAACGGTCTCAGAGCGGCGTGGATTGTTGATTGCTTTAATTGAAAAGGTCTTGTTTCCACTGCAGTCTTTAGCAAGTAAATATTTACAAGCTCCCTGGAAGGAAAATAGCTGGCCGTCGAAAGTGCGATAATGAGGATCTCCAAAAACGGTACACACTCCATTATCTAGAACAGTTAGGACTTTAAAGAACGGTACATACTCCATTATCTACAAAAACGGTACATACTCCAAAAACGGTACACACTCCATTATCTAGAACAGTTGTAAATATACGTTAGGACTTTAAAAAACGGTACATACTCCATTATCTACAAAAACGGTACATACTCCATTATCTAGAACAGTTGTAAATATACGTTAGGACTTTAAAAAACGGTACATACTCCATTATCTACAAAAACGGTACATATTTCATTATCTTCAAAAAGGTACATTCTTCAAAAACGGTACATACTCCATTATCTCCAAAAACGCAGATAGCCCTCGTGTAGCTTTGCGCGAAATTCATAACAAACAAACAAACAAACATTAAATCTGACATTTAAATCTTACCTTCCACACACGAAGGACAACACTTTCCAGGGACGGACTTTAACTTGTAGCCCTTCAGGCACCTGCTTACCGAACAGTAAGAGGTAGAACAAATAATTTGACCTTTGAAACAAGAGCATTTCACACAGGGGTTTTTCAACCACGTCTTTCCTTCCTAATATGAGAAGTTGCACGTGTTAAAATTTCGCAGACCAATAAAAATATTCACAGATATCTTTATAAAACAAATATTACAACTGTCTTGAGAATTCACGTCTGTATTGTGATTTTTTCAAAATTCGTTAATTGGATAATATTACTGTTATAGGCTTTAAAATCATCCATTGACAACTAAACGAGACCAAACAACTTATATTAACTGTTAGTTTCTAGGAGTTTTTATTTTGGGGGCAAATAGTTTGTTGGGACAGAAGAGGGTGTATTAGAAATTGACCAAGTATACAAAATAAATTGGCTTTTTTTTTCCTTTAAGAAATGTATATTTATATATTTGAATTGTAAAAAAAACAAAAAAAACATCGAAATTAACTCGTTCTCTCTCTTTGCACAGCCCCCTCCCCTCCCCAGTGGGCTCAGCGGTAAGTCTGAAGCCTTATAATACTAAAAATCAGTCTTGATTTACAGCATAGATAGCGTATTGTGTTGCTTTGTGCTTAACAACAAATAGTTCAGTTTTATTTACAGTTAGGTGGTGACACAAAACTGAACCTTCTAATTGATAGTTAGGTGATGATACTAGAAGGTTCAGTTTTCTTGATAATTAGGTGGTGATACTAGAAGGTTCAGTTTTATTGATAGTTAGGTGATGACACTAGAAGGTTCAGTTTTATTGATAGTTAGGTGACACTAGAAGGTTCAGTTTTATTTACAGTTA